TCCACCCCCCCTGTATATAAACCTAGATTACCCTCCTCCCTCAGTTGAACGCAGTCTCGCCTCCCTCTCAATGAACACAAGTCCTGCTCTTGGCCTCTACAGCACCCAGGGCTAAAAAAAAAAAAAACAACAACAACTCCTGCTCTTGTCACTCATCTACACGTTCCACAGATTGCGACTGTTCGTCGTTACCAGTACCAAAAAAAATATAAAAAAATATTAAAAAATATAAAAAAACATATAAAAATCGGGCACCACAAACTCCACAGCACACACCCATATTTCGAGGCCCGCCGCATCAAAAGACCTGAAAATGCGTGCGGACACAATTTCGGTTCAGATTCATTCACGACTTCCCGAGGCTTGCCGCGCATCAAAAGACCTTGCCTCCGAGCATCCACTCATTGCGCGCCGAGCCCGCCAACCACTAGTACTCCAGAAGCTTATCCAGGAAGCAGGCGGCCTGAAAGCATATGCGTGCCGCCGCGGCCTCCGCTAGCTCAGAGCACCCACTCACTGCGCGCCAAGCGCGCCAACCACCGTCGACGAAAACGGGCAGCAACTTCGCTCATTACCCATACCGATCAATCAACCACATTCTTTTCGAAATCTCCTTCTCCGAGTTGTATTACCTTTCAATCAATCCATCAATCTTCTTCCACCTGGATTATCCCCCCTCCCCCCCTTCCCCCCCGCTACCTCTTTCATCCTCCTCCTCCCCTATCTACCCTGCTTTCCAATCAATCACGTCCTCTTCTTCTCCCAATCAATCACGTCCTCTTCTTCTCCCAATCAATAACCTTTTCTCTTCTTCCCATCAATCACACTTGTGTTCTTCCCATCAATAACACACTTCCTCTTCTCTTCACCCAATCAATCATCATACACTTCCTCCTCTTCTTCCAATCAATCACATCTCCTCATCTCTCCTTCTTCTTCCAATCTATCCCCCCTTTTCTACCAATCAAAAATCTCCCCTCTTCTTCCAATCAATCACACCCTCTCTCTTTTTAAAATCAATCACACCCTCTTCTTCCAATCAATCAATTACACCTCCTCTTCCCCTCTTCCCAATCAATCACACCTCCGTTTTTTCCAATCAATCACACCTCCTCTACGCTCGTTCCAATCAATCACACCTCCTCTCCTCTTTCTATTCTTCCAAGCAATCATCATACCCCATCTTCTTCCAATCCATCACACTTTTCCTCCTTTCTCCCAATCACTCACACCCCTCCTCTTCTCCTCTCTTCTCTTCCAATCAACAATCACATTTTTCCTCCTTTCTCCCAATCACTCACACCCCTCCTCTTCTCCTCTTTTCTCTTCCACTCAACAACCACACTTTTCCTCCCTTCTCCCAATCACTCACAACCCTCCTTTTCTCCTCTCCACCCCTCTTCTCCTTTTTCTTCCAATCCATCACACTTTTCTCCTTTCTCCCAATCACTCACACCCCTGCTCTTCTCCTACTCTTCCAATCAACAATCACACTTTTCCTCCTTTCTCCCAATCACTCACACCTCCTCCTCTTCTCCTCCTCTCTTCCAATCAACCACACACACATTTCCTCTTCCTCTTCCTCTTCTTCTTCCCTCTTCTTCTTCCCTCTTCTTCTCTTCCAATCAATCAATCAATCAATCAATCAATTAATCAATCCAATCAAGAGCTTCTCAGCTGTCCTTTCAACTTTTCCAGTCGCTGCGACAGATCGTTCGCTTCGTCCTCCGCCGCTGCTACCGTGATCGGTTTATTTGTTGTCGGCAACAACTCCGTGCTGAGCTCCAGCTGGTGCTGATCTGCTACCTCTTGCATGAGCGCCGTCACTTGGTCTTCCGGGGTGGACATGGAGGTGCTCCCGTGCATCGCGCCCTCGATGAACGACTGGCGGACGTCGAGGTCTGTAAATTGCTTCTCGAATTGGTCCATGGTCTCCGATACCTGCTCCAGGTTGTTGACGGCCATCGCTCGATCGAGAGACTTGACGATGCCGGCCATCGATTTGCTGATGGTGTTCATCTTAGCCTGGGTGTCGAGACGAGACACGACGGCATCGAGTCGGGATCCCAGGCGCAAGTAATTCAACTGCTCCGTGCGCTTGCGGATGGCATTCTGGGCGTAAATGCGCGCGCCGTCCATGTTGCCCTTCTCGATGGCCCTCTTCACCTTCATCCGCTCGGCTTTCTCTTCTTTGTCACATTTCTTCGCCTGACGAACCAGACTCTTCGACGTGAATCGCAGCTGAAAGATCTGGTCCAAAAGCTTCTCCTGACTTCCCATCGTCGCTGTGGATCAATCAATCAATCAATCTACCAATCAATCAACCAACCAACCAACCAATCGATCAATCAATCAATCGATCAATCAATCAATCGGAAATCTCGGTCAATGAATCAATCAACCAACCAATCGATCAATCAAACAATCAATCAATCAATCAATCGATCGGAAATATCGATCAATGAATCAATCAAACAAACGACATCGCAATCAATCAATCAATCAATCGATCGATCGATCGATCAATCAACCTCGATCAATCAATCAATTCCGATCAATCAATTACGTAATCCAATTAGACCGACCAATCAATCAATCAATCAATCAAAATCAATTAACCTATCTTGATCAGTCAATCCCGATAAACCAATCAATCAAAATGTCGATTAGTCGATGACAATCGTCAATCACTCTATGATCGATCGATCAATCAATCGACCTCGAAAATCAATCAATCAATCAATTAATCAATCGTCGTGATCGACCAATCAATCAGTGAAATTCAATCAATCAGTCGATCGATCAATCAATCAATATAGGAACAGATCACCGCGCGAAAAAAAAAAGATGAGCGACGAACGCGGAGACCACGGAGAGAATCGCAGATGCCACGCGCGGGCCAGGGAGTTCGCTCGCTCGGTCGGCAAGCAACGTCTATATGCTCAGAGGGCAATCGACTCCGATTAATTGGTTGACCCGTTCAATTAATTAAACGATCGGTCCAACTAATTAATCGACCGGTCAGTCTAATCAATCAATCAAATAATGGACACGCGGCGCAGGCGCGTGGACCGTTGCAGGGCGTGGCACTCGAGGCCGTCTCGGTTTTTCCCCTTTGCCTTTCTTCTTGCGGAAACGAGGGAAGAAGGGCTGCTGGACACTCGCAGTTTTCCATCAAAAAAAGACCAAAAAAAAAATCATAAATAAATAAAATAAATCGAAAACAAGATGTTCCTCGGAGCGCACCTACACCCCGCGGCGGTAGTACCTGCCACCGCAATTCTGGAAAATAAGGGGAAAAAAAAACAGAGTACCTGCCACGTGGATAACAACCCCTGCCTGTCGGCGATCGTCAGTGTAATAAGGGCGTGGTTGCACTACTCGCCATCCGCGAGCCAAAACTGTGAATGAATGACTCTGAACGGAAATTCTGTCCTGATGCATGCGAAATGTTGGTGGATGGCCCTAAGGATAAGGGCCTCGTCGCACTACCGTCTTCACCCGAATACGACGTACGGTCATTTATACCTGTATTTGTATTTGAGCCAACTTTGAGTCTAGATGCAGCAATAATGACCCTACGTTGTATTCCCGTGAAGACAGTAGTCGCCATCCGCCAACATTTTGATTGCATGTGGACATCATCTTGTCCAGATGCATTCGAAATCTTGCAGATGGCGAGTAGTGCAACTACTGGTAGGGCCTAAGAAAAGGAGAAGGCCCGCCAACACACCCAAAACGAGCCAAAAAACTTGAAAAAAAGGTCCGTCAAACTTATTTTCCTTTTTTTAAAAAAAGAAAGGGCGACTGCCTTAAGATATTATCATTGAGCTGACCGGCCCCAAGCAATTCATTAGTAGTTGGTTTTAATAATCAAGTTCCAATGCATCTGGATTCGAGCACAGCACCTGGTCTGTATTTCAACAGTTCATGGGTGTACCCACTGAGCTAGGCTCTTGGGTGGATTTTCCATTTTCCATTTTCCATTTTCCCGCCACTGGAGTTTGATTACAGGCCGGCTTTCCTGACCCGGGGCTCGGTCCCACCTGCGCCTTTCCGTTGTAGGAGGCTGCCACGAAGGGACTGGCGGGTGTCCAGGGACCATCGATTCTGTCAATCCATGGTCCTTAGGCGCCCTCCATTCTTTTCGTGATAGCCTCCTACAACGAAAAATGTGCAGGTGGGACCATGCCCCCGAATCAAAGGCGAAGGCCCGCCAAAACTCAATTGTCTACACGGGGAACGCAGCCCTAAGGTAGCCAAAGCAATGAGACTAAGAGCACGCACAAGAGAGAGAGAGAGAGAGAGAGAGAGAGAGAGAGAGAGAGAGAGAGAGAGAGAGAGANAGAGAGAGAGAGAGAGAGAGAGAGAGAGAGAGAGAGAGAGAGAGAGAGAGAGAGAGAGAGAGATTGAATTGCAAAATTGAAATATAGGTGAAATTGCGGTTGTGATCTATTACACTTGGAATGCGTTTTTCAAATTTATTTAGCATTTTTCTTGGAAAGATCATAACAAAATCTACGAGTAGTAGAGTATGCCAATTTTAAGGTTTTTTCACGCATTCTTCTGAGCGCGACAACTCACTGAATTTGGAGTGCTTTTTCATTTGGCCCACACATGGCTGAGTGACAAAAATGGAAAATGTGCCGAATTGGCGCAACGATTATTTCGCGGTCAAAATAATTTTTTGAAAATGTTCTAATATTTTTCCTGGAAAGAACACGACCTCATCTATGGATTCTCAAAATTTCAGATTTTTCTGCAGATTCCTCCGAGCACATTAAATTGCCAAAGTTGCCTCTTGCAAACCACCTCGTTCGTTGCGCCTGACCTCCCTGTTTTGAGAAGACGGGCCTCAACGCCTGGGCCTGAGGGCCCTTTTGCAGTTCACATGCCCTCAATTCTTTTTGGGGTCCGATTCCACCCGAGGACAGGTCCTTCCTTTTTTCAAAAGTCCGGGTTCTACCAGAGCTAGCTGTAGGTAGTCCGCAATTCCGCTAAGGACCTGTCCCCCAAATTTTTTTGCCCCCTAAAAACCCACTTTGCGTCCTGGTCGCCCGCCGCCGAAAATGCGATACCTTGACACAGACGTCGAAGCCCACTATACCGCAGCCTTAGGGCTGCGAACACACCCGAAACGAGCCACAAAACACAACCCGTCAAACTTCTGGGCCGAGGTCCCACTAGCAAAAAGGATAGGATCGAGCTCCTGAATCTGGATGTGTTTTAAGCAGAGATGCAGAAAAGCAGTTCAATCTCGATTTCCTGCACATAAACTCGTCCAGATTCCGGCATTCGATCCGATCCTCTTTGCTAGTGGGACCATGCCCCTGGGGGGTTTAACTCTTCTTCTGGGAGTCCGAGGCTGCTTTTAAAAAAAAAAAAAAAACGAGGCTGTTTTTTCGCTGACCTGAATCGTGTTGCGCGCCATAAAAAAATCCAACGGCACAAGGCGGGATTTTTCTTTTTGGCTGGCTCAGCCTGCAGCCCACCATTTTTTCGGTCTGTGCGGTCCGGTACCACCGACCCGCGCACGTTGTGGCGAACCTTTTTTTTTTCCTTTTGAGGAATGCGTCGAACATTATTTGACTGGGAATCAGCAGCAGCGGCGCGCCGTCAAGCGACCAGCGGGGGCAGCTTCCGCTGTGCCCGGGGCCAAGTCCCACTTACCCAAATTCTCAATTTCTGACCGTAGATTAGGAAGATCAACGACCAGAAATGAAGAATCAGAGTAAGTGGGACTTGCCCCCCAGAAGCTGCCGATGCTGGGGCTAGGGGTTCGCCCAGGCTACGGGCTATGCCTACCGTACCTAGCCGGCCCCGGGGGCCCACGGTGGAAGTGTGGAAGTGTCTACGAATAGCACGTTGCATCATCAAGTGTAACATGGTAAGCCAAAGACGAAGGACCAATTATCTCATTATTACACGCGGCATTCACAAGACTCACAAGACTCACGACGAAGGCCAACCCATTCACATTCATATCCGAGGAGAGAGACAAGTTACAGAAAAGAGAAGAAGAAGTTGACACAGACGAGCTCCTTTATTAGGTCATCAATCAAAGTTTAGAAAATGTAGCATAACCCGTCATCACAAGTGAACATGAAAATTGACGGTGCCACGAACATGGTTGGCAGTATCGACAAGACTCGGGGAAACACCGACACTGGACAGTGATCACGTCCAAAACACCTACACTGGACGGTGGTCACGTCCATACGTGGTGGGCGTGAAGCATGTCCAACAGGCCTGATAGAGTGCTTGCTGGCATCGGGGGCCAAGTCCCACTTACCCGAATGATCGATTTCTGACCGCCGATTTGGGAGATCAACGACCAGAAATCAAGGATCAGCGTACATGGGACTTGGCCCCGGCTGTGGGGCTAGACTGGAGTAATGCAGCACTGTCACACAAAGTTGCCTGGAGTGGGGGTAGCTTCTCGCCCACTGGCAGGCTGTGGAATCGATGCCATACCTAGCGGGGCGATGGTGGTCACCTTCGTCCATACGTTGTAGGGGTGAGGCTTGTCTAAGGTGCCTGATAGAGTGGCTTGCTGCCAGACTGTGGGTGTTGCGTGTTGCATGCAGTGGTTTGGCTATTTTGAAGTGCTGGTGCATCCCTCTTCATTACACGCTATCTGCAATCAAATCAGATCAGGGTGCACTTGTGCTTAGTGAGGCTGGTCTTAGATATGTAGCCTGTTTTACGCTGTGCAAGCTTTGTTTTTCGGATTTTCTTCGTTGTTTTAGATGAAGACTGGCATCCTTGCAGCTGTAAGATTCATTCTGTGGAGGAAGACTGTGAGCACGGCCTCCTAGACTACCCTGCCCAACATCATTGCAGAAGAGAAACCATTTTCTTTTTTTCTCTTTCTTTCTTTTTTCTTTTTTTTTTTTGGGATAATTTGCGAAATACCCCTATAACTTGAGATATATGCCAAAATGCCCCTAAAAGATGTGGGTAGAGCGAAATGCCCTTTTGGGCCTAAGTCTTTGTGTTTTGCCCCTGTCAGGCCCGTGTGCAAATTTCCAATCTGGACTGCGACGTTGGGGTCTGGGCCTGCACACTATTTTACCCGGTTTGCCCTCCATACCAGGTGGACAACTTTGCGGAATACCCAGGCCCATAGGCGCAGCAGTTTCCCTTCGCGATTCAAACTTTCAAACGCGTTCCAAGTCTCTGCCTCTGTCTCCCGCTCTGTTCGGCATCTTTCTTCATCCTCCTCGCTCCACCCTGGTAAGTTTCCCATCTCCAACTCCTCCTCTCCCCCCATCCTCCAAGTTCTCCTCCTATGACAGGTCACCATGTCTGAAATCCTCCTGCTGGTCACTCCTGCTCTCTCTCTCTCTCTCTCTCTCTCTCTCTCTCTCTCTCTCTCTCTCTCTCTCTCTCTCT